GGTTACAGAAGCAGTCCAGGGCAGGAGGACCATTCAGGCCAACCAGTGGGTCTGGGGTGGACTGGGTAGCCCTCTGTGGAGACCTTTGGTCTTGAGAGCATCTGGAAGGACTTGCTTCCTTCCTCCCTCTGCATTGTAGCTGGGGTAACTGGGGCAGCTGCCCTCAGCACCACAACCTGCAGAGCAGAATCCAGTGCTGTGCTGCCTCAGCCGCACCTTAAGAGCCACCCGCTGCCGAGCATTTTGAATATTCCATAGACACTTACCATGATATGTGGGGTTTTTTTTTTAATTTTATGTGTACGAGTGTATTGTCTGCTTGTATATAAGTGCACTCGTGTCATGAAGTATCTGAGGAGGTCTGAAGAGATTTCAGATCCCCTAGAACTGGAGTTATGGAGGGTTGTTAGCTACCACGTGGGTGCTGCAAATCGAAGCCAGGTCTTCTGCAAAAACAGCAAGCGCTCTTAACTGCTGAGCCATCTCTCCTGCCCCCCATGTTTTTTTTGTTTGTTTGTTTTTTATGTTTTTGGTCTTTTTGAGACAGGGTCTCCCTGTAGCCCCAGCTGTCCTGGAACTCACTATGTAGACCAGGCTGGCCTTGACCTCACAGAGATCCGCCTGCCCCTGCCTCCAGAGTGCTGGGATTAAAGGCGTGCGCCCCCATGCCTGGCTCCATGTTTTATTTTTAAATAGCTAAATGAAATATCTTTAGATCTCTACAGGCTTTTCATACAGTAATTATCAGTAGAAATCACCTACAGAAACAAAGTCTTCCTCAGCTGCCAAGATCCAGCAGCTAAAGAAGGGTTCATTTCAAGCCAGCATTTGAAAAGAAGCAGTAGAAACGGTCCCAGTTCTTCCAGCTGTCACGATGACTCTTCCTGAACTAGAGGTGCTGAGGTTTTCTGTGTCTCTGAGATAAGAAAGAAGACTCACAAGTTCTCTGTGGCCCCATGTCACAGGAGTTTTAGACCTATTAGAACATAGATTTGTAGGTCTGAGGTTTGCCCTCAGGGTTTAATAGATTTTTCAATTATTTTAGAAGCCAGCGAAGCACTTTTAACTTTTATTTTTCCTTGACAGTCTATATTTACTACCTGTTTGCAGTTACTCAGACCAACTGAAAACGAGGGCATAAAGAGGATTGCTTTGTCAGAAAGTCCATTTGTAGCTCTAGAGTGAAGCAAATGTTTTATTTGGAAAATAGACATTGTGAAATTATCTCTACTGTTCTAACAGATACTTTGTATGGTGGTTATATGGCTGATAACCAATCCAGCCAACAAATCACAAACTTAAAAATCTGTTTATCCTGGGCTTGGTGTTACAGGCCTATAATACCAGCATTCAGGAGGTAGAGACAGGCAAATCTCTGGGAGTTCAAAGCCAGCCTGATCTATATAATGAGACCATGTCTCAAAAAAAAAAAAAATCTCATTTCTGGACCTAACAAACAGCAGATGCTTACGCACACAGACATGGGGTACTTCTTCACACTGACTGCATGTTTTGGGAGAAATGGATCTTGGCCATTGGACCAAGCAGCAGGTAGTGGGCAGCTGCCTCCTGCCATCTGCTTAAGTTTCCTCAGTTGCTGATCAGAGACCTGCCATGGATCTCTCTCGAATGTCTGTTTCACTGATGCAGTTTGGCTCTGTTGCTATTGAGTACACAGGTTTCCTGCCCCCTTTTTTGTAGATATGTTTGTTGGGTGGGGGGCAAAGATCAGTCTCAGGTATATAATAAGGTGAAATAAAATTGGAGTAAATGTCCAGTGAACACATGATCAAACACCCAGAATTGATAACTGATTTTGGCAGAGGGCTCTGGAGACATGGGGCAGAAGACAGAATTTCCATTTATAGCCCAGGCTGGCCTTGACCTTGCCATCCTCCTGCATCTTCCTGAGTGTATCAGAGGCCTGCCCTGTCACACACAGCTCATGTATGCTTTTTAGAGTACATACTATCTATGTCTCTTCCCATTTTTACTTTGTTTTACTATAAAATATTTCACGTATGTATATAGGTGTGAAGATTAGTTTAAATATTGCTGAGGTACAGACTACCCGGTTAAGAAAGAACATTTCAGGCCAGATATGGTGGTGCACTCGGGAGGCAGAGGCAGGCAGATCTCTTGTGAGTTCAAGGGTAGCCTGGTCTACAAAGTAAGTTCTAAGCCAGCCGGGGCTACAGGGAGACCCTGTCTCATAAAGACCAAAAAAAGAAAGAGAACATTTCTTCCCTTTGAAGCCTCTTGTGCAAAGATAACCCTCAAAAATCCAGAAGTGATGCTGTTGTCCACCAGCCTGCCAGTCTCCGCCCTCTCAGTTGAGACTCAGAAGCTTGTTTTCTGGCACACTCAGAATCAGCAGATGGACTGTCCTGTAAACTGCCTTAACCTCACTTCCATTTCCTTTTTTCTAGTTACGGAATCGCTTTTTAAAAGGTATTTCTATTGGGGGCGGCACGTGCATGTGTGTGGAGCTCAGTTGACACAGGAATTCTGTTGACAGTCTACAGGAGTGAGGTCTCTCCACCATGTGGGTTCCTGGGATCAAATTCAGAACAGCAGGCTTGGCCAGTGCCCTAACCTGCTGAGGCATCTTGCCAGCCTGAGGTTTTTTTTGTTTTGATTATGGAAGTAACCTGTGCTGACACTAGAGAAAGTAAAATATGGGACTAGGAATGTAGCTCAGCTACGCTGTACAGTGTACTTCCCTAGCACGTGCCAAGCCCTAGGTTTCAGGCACCAGGTGAGGAGAGGATGTGCTGAGAGGGCATTCTCTCACAGATCAGCAGTATGGCACATATGCACTAACACCATTGACGTTCACTATGAATGGACTCTCTGTCCATTTGTCCAACACTGTTGGGCATCTGCTCTGCTGTGTGGTTGGATGACTGTTCTTCTGGGATGCCAACTTCCTTCCAGAATGCTGTTCTGGGAACCATCCTCCTTTTTTCTTAGGTGGCCAAGGATCAAGATAGCTCTCAGTAGGGACCTGGCTGAGCACTCAGGATGCCAGCTGGGTTCTGTCATTCTGATGGCAGGGACCCTGTGCATCCCTCTCCTCACCTTCCTCTCTGTCTGCTCTCTCCCTTGCACATACTCTGTTCATCCTTCTCTCTCTGCTCATGTAGTGCTGGGGGCAGTGGGCCTATGGGAGGCGAGTTGGGGTTTGGGGTTTACATTTGGTTTTTCTGTTTTGTGTTTTTATTTGTTTTGAAAATTATAAACAACAGAAAAATAATAAATACATAACAACCAAATACATATCTTAAGTATAACTCATATCCTTGACACTTTTTTGTACTATTTCGGTTACATAAACAATGTTAAGCAGGGCATGAACGCTATGAGTCAGACAGGCAAGGGTAGTGGTTGGCTGGGTTTGTCCTCAGATGCCTGCATTAGTAGTTCCTTAAAGCTCCAGGGTCCTGAACCCTGTGTACTGAGGTTTCCAATCTCACTTGACTTACATGTGACCTCTTAAATATTTTTAGGAATTTAAATTTTTATTTTATCATTTTCATATTTCTAGAGAAGCAATTTTAAATATATTTTGTGTTTAATTTAGATCAATACTCTTTCATTGTGTTGAGTTGGTTTTAACTCAAGTTTAAATAGTCATAATGTTTAAAGATGAAACTTGGCTTTTTCCTAAAGAAAATTTTACTGATTAATTTGTCAGCAAAAATGTTCAAATGGAATGCCATGTTTGAGATTGAAGGTATAGTTTTCAGTTACTTAAAATCTACATATTAAGCCACAGGAAGTGTTTTTAAATTTTAGATGCCATGTGCCCTGAGTGCTTTGATAGTATGTACCTGGGACTTTTTAAAAGAGGATGCAGCCACTAACAAGCCATCGCAACATTCTCCACTGAAAAGCTGAGTGGTTTCCTTCAGCAGTCCTGGGATTTAACTAATTTTTTATGAGCAAAGTGTAAAAGCTCCATTTTAGTATATTTGGCAGTGTATTTTTAATTTGTCCCAAAGTGATTTGTGAGGACATTGATGAGGGAGTACAGGTGGACAGAGGTGGTAAAGGGCCAGACTCACAGCAGGCTGACAATGTCAGTGCCGCCCATTGACTTCTGCCTTATTTGCATCAAACAGAAGACATCCAGGCACCTGCAGAAGCTGCCTGGAGACTGTGGTGGTACCTCTGAGCCCCAGGTTTTGTAGAGAGTTTTGGTTGGTTGGTTGGTTGGTTGGTTGGTTGGTTGGTTGGGTTTTTTTGTTTTTGTTTTTGAGACATGTCTTAACTTACTGTGTAGCCCTGGCTGGCCTGGAACTCACAGAGATCTGCCTGCCTCTGCCTCTGCCTCTGCCTCCCAAGTGTTGGGGTTAAAGGTGTGCTCCGCCCACCTTGCCCAGCCTGACTTCTTTGCTTTTAATTGATGCTTAGAGCGTTGATGTGCCCAGTCATCCCATGGATGATCCCATGGGAGAGTGGGTCCAGGTAATCAAATCTAAGGATGCTCAAGTCCCTATTATAAGATTCATAACATATATCTTTCTGTAATTTAACTCATCTCTAGATGGCTTATAGTATTTTGACACAATGTAAAATAAGTCCTTGTTACACTGTATTACTTACAGAGTGGGGACACAGAATATTTTTGATCTGCAGTGGTGAGTCCACAGTCTTAGAACCTAAGAGTGACTGTGAACAGGCTCTGGAAATACCAGGAACCTGGCAAGGCCCTCATTGAGGGAGTGCTGTCTCAATGGAAGTGCCTGATTGAGCTATTGGCCCAGACCTGCTCTGCCTACCTCTGTAGGACTGTGGGATATGTGTACAAAGGGAGAGGGAGATTGGGTGGTGCCAGGCCTGGGCCTCTCCAGGCTGGGGTCCAGTGACCATGGGAACACTGGCATTCTGGTGGCTACCTCCCAGGTCCTCAGTAAGTGCTGTGCTGCACACCCAGCTGATGTCCTCCAGCAGTCAGGTTCTTGGCATCTTTTCTGACCAGACTTTTGTTTCCGTAGGGAACTGCACCTGGGGAATGAATTGTAGGTTTATACATCCTGGAGTGAATGACAAGGGCAACTACTCCCTCATCACCAAAGCCGAACCTTTTCCACCCAATGGTGCCCCGCCTCTTGGACCTCACCCACTGATGCCTGCCAACCCTTGGGTGCGTGAGCTCTTCTTTATTTACCAGAAGATGGGACACTGAGCTCTGACTCTACATCTCAGACATAAGACAAACTGGTGTGCCTTGTGGAAAAGGCATCTTGTACCCGAGAGTGTGGGAGCCACCTTCTCAGGGGTATCTGCTGTCGTCGTGCAGGAGTACCCTTGAATGTTCCCAGGCACTTGGGAGTTTGGGCAAGAGGGTCAGTTGTATGAGGCTGGCTGGGTTATGTTTCTAAAATGTCTCTGCTCCTGTTTCCTTGTGGATTTTAAAGTGCTTCCTCAGTGTTTCCCTTCTTGTTTTCAATAGGGTGGGCCAGTAGTTGATGAAATTTTGCCTCCACCCCCTCCAGAACCCCCAACAGAGAGTGCCTGGGAACGAGGACTCCGGCACGCAAAGGAGGTGAGAATTAGTGCTCTGGGAGAAGCTCAATGGTGGCCCTTCTAAAGTTGGGTCTCCACAGAGCTGGTGTGGCTTTGATCCAAGGAGCATGTGGAAGCTCCATGAAGCCTCAGAAGCTGTGGGAACATGTCTTTGTTTCCTTTTAAGAGTTAGGGAGTGAGGGCCTGGAGAGATGGCTCAGTGATTAAGAGCACTGACTGCTCTTGCAGAGGACCCAGGTTCAATTCCCAGCACCTATATAGTGGCTGTGAACCATCCTTAACTCTAGTTCCAGGGGAATCTGAAGCACTCTTCTGACCTGCCATTGCACGACATGGGTGCACTCACATACATGCAGGCAATACACTCATACACATAAAATAAAAATAATAAAGCCAGGCATGGTGGCGCACGCCTTTAATCCCAGCACTTGGAGGCTCTCTGTGAGTTCAAGGCCAGCCTGGTCTACATAGTGAGTTCCAGGACAGCTGGCGCTACAGGGAGACCCTGTCTCAAAAAGACCAAATAATAATAATAACAATAATAATGATAAATACAATATTAAAAAAAAAAAGTTGGTGAGAAGTAATACCTAGTCATCTCTGCATGAGAGGCCCGGTGACAGGTCAACCTTAGTGGGCCAGGGGGCCCACCCCTGGGTACAGAATTGCCATCTTTAGGTGGCATGGGCAGCCTAGAAGACAAGTCCCTAGCCACCTCTCAAGGCAATGACCTAATCCCTGCCACTCTGCAGGGCCCAGTCCTCAGCCCCTAGTGCCCACCATGCAGTCAGGGCACCAGTGTCTGCTGACACCCAGCCCTGCTTTCTCAGTGCCTGGATCTTTCTCTCTGGGGGGAGATGGAAGTAAAAGCCTCCCTCTGCATATTCCTGAGGCTCTCTGCAGTCCTTATCACCCAAGAGCCCTCTGGTCCCAGATGCTCACCTGTACAAATGAACCACAGCAGACCTGTGAAGACCAGCTCCTTCTGAGGCCTCTGGGAGAGGACCCAGGTCTCAAGCTTGCCCAGGCCCATCAGCACTGGGCCATGTTCTGCTCCAGGTCTCTCGTTCCCCATTTCCTTGCAGTAGTTCTGATGGTCCTGGTTCCACACTGACTTCTGTCTTCCTCTGGTGGTAGGTTTTAAAGAAAGCAACCATCCGAAAAGAGCAGGAACCTGACTTTGAAGAAAAAAGGTTCACAGTGACCATTGGTGAAGATGAGCGGGAGTTCGATAAGGAAAATGAAGTCTTCCGAGATTGGAATTCTCGGGTCCCGAGAGACGTCAGAGACACAGCGTAAGGAATGCTCTGCTGCTGCTCCCCTTCTGTGAGAAAATTCAGTTGCCCTGGCTCGCCCTTCCTCAGCCACATGCAGGTCCCCAGTGGAGGAGTTGGCACACCCTCCCTCATCTAACTCCAGCCTTTCTTACAGTCACATCTCAGCTCTGGCTTGTGTGGAGGTGCTTGAGTTCCGTGCTCGGAGCTCAGCACCAGTGAAGTCTATGCCTTTGTCTCTGTTTACCTGTTCATCAGTTATTCAGGAAATGTGTAGTTTGTTGTCAGAATCCAAGAGCCTGACCGCTGTGGCCTGCACTGTAAATGCTATTGTTTCTGCTCCTCTGATATTTAACGTTGGCCTTTAGAAATCATGATAGAGGAGGTATGTGGCACTGGAATGAGGTCAGAACTGGGGGACTGTGTAGCCTAAAGGGTGTTGCTCCTCTGCCTGTTCCTTCCCTCAGGGGCTCCCACCCTCATGGGAAAGAAATGGGCTACCTTCCTGCCTGCTGAGGGTACAAGGTGAAGGGTTAGAATATGGAGGTGAGTTACAGTCCACTCTGTGATCACTCCTGTCTTAGTCTAGTAGAAACACTTTGCTAAAAAAAGTCACCATCACTGTAGTTTCTAGCTGAAGAGGTAGTGAAAGGTGAACAAGGAATTTCCTCCAGCACTGAGGCCTGGCAGCCCCCTCACACAGACACCTTCAGCCCTGGAGCTCTCTGCACAGGGCATCGCAGGTTCCCCAGGGGCCATGCCTGTACAGGTAGGGTGAAAGGTAGAGATTTAACTGTGTGGCAGTCTTTGTCCAGTTTTGCAGTGTTAGTGTTCAGAAAGTGCAGAGCATCTTGGAACATGTCCTCCACAGAGAGCAGGACTACTGTAGTTAACAGTGCTTTCTAATTACACGCTGTGTGCAGCGAGTATTAAGCAGCAGGATTTTGAAGTGCTCCTCTGACTTGACTGTGCTCCCAGAGGGTAGTCAGGTGCCCTTCCTGTTGAGTGGAACCCTGGGAGATGCCACCCTGGTATGTGTCCTCGGGCCTACTTTACTCATATGCTACAGAGACACAGATGTGATTATGATATAGAGCTCTTTGGAGTGTTGCCGTGCCTCAGAGGGTGTCTCCTCTGTTGCAAGGTTTCTTTAGCTGGGCTCCTATCTCTTTTTTTTCTTTTCCGTAGCCCCAGCTGGCCTGGAACTCGCTATGTAGACCAGGCTGGCCTCGAACTCATAGCGATCCACCTGCCTCTGCCTCCCAAGTGCTGTGAGTAAACGGCGTGCACCACGAAGCCCAGCCTTGTCTCTTTTTTCATATGGACGAGGCTTTCCATTTGTCTAACCCATGAAGATGTCTGTCGTGTTCTGACTAGGGGTTACCTTGTTCTTATGACCCAGTGCAGGAAGGACCAGCATGGCAGTGATGCAAGTCCTGTCATGTCTTCTCATTTCCCTTTTTGTGTCTCTGAACTGAGCTCCACGAATTTCTGGTTAAGTATGTGTTGTTGCTGGGCATCGTCCCCTCTCTGCTGTTGTAAATAACGCTGTCTATATGCACTGCCTACTCATTAGCTGATCATTGTTGTGTGCGTGAGGACGTTGATTCCCTTGTTTAGGTTTTATCCTTCTGCTTTCCTGAGGTCGGAGGTTGGTTGTGTGAACTGACTCATAGGTTGTTCAGCTGTGTTGTCACGGGGTTGGAAATAGAGAACGTTTTGTAGTGTTCTCACACCTTTCCAGGCTCCTCTTGCCATCAGCCATCAGCGCCTGCACACACTGACAGGGGGTCATGTGTCCATCTTGTCCTGATGCCCAGGGGATCCTTCCATGCTTCCCTACCAAGTGGTACACCAGCTTTGATTTTAAAATCAAAGTGCTTGTGGGATGGGGGTGGGGTGGAGTGAATGTGCCATGTGCATGTGTGGAAGTCAGAGGACAACTTTTTGGAGTCAGTTCTCTCCTTCCCACTTTATGTGGCTTCTGGGGGTCGAACTCATGTTGTCAAGCTTGCAGAGCACGCTCTTTACCCTCTGAGCCATATCACCAACCCTTAAAGTGCTTGTTACAGTTTTGTTTGGTCTTTTATTTTTTGTCTTTTTTTTTTTTGGTCTTTTTGAATCAGGGTCTCCCAGCTGTCCTGGAACTCACTATGTAGACCAGGCTGGCCTTGAACTCTCAGAGATCCGCCTGCCTCTGCCTCCCGAGTGCTGGAATTAAAGGCGCGCGCCACCACACCCAGCTAGAGTATGTTTTATCTTATTGGGAAAATATGAATTCCTGTTTTGTTGAGCCTTCTCACTCAAGAATGGATCCTGGGAGATTCATGACTTTTCTCTGCAGGTGATTGCTCCATGTGGCTCTTAGGGGATTAATTCCCTAACTGACAGCCCTGTGCCCCTGGCTCAGACACCACTTGGTCATACTGCATTATTTTATTAATGTGAGATTGGATTCTGTTGGTTTGCATCTTATATAGAATTTATGCTGGGGGGCTGGAGAGATGGCTCAGCAGTTAAGAACACTGGTTGTTCTTGCAGAAGACCTGGGTTCGAGTCCCAGCACCCAATGGCAGCTAACAACTGTTCATAACTCCAGTTCCAGGGGATCCAACGGCCTCCTCTGTCCTCCTCGGGCATTGCACAACACGGGTGCGCTTAACCTACAAGCAGGCAATACACACACACATAGAAAATAAAAATAATGAAAGAGTGTTTGCTGTGGCCTTCCTAAGTGGTAAGAGTTCCTTCTTATTGGCTCTTTTTTCAGACTTGAGCCTTATGCGGACCCTTATTATGACTATGAAATAGAGCGGTTTTGGCGTGGTGGACAGTATGAGAATTTCAGGGTGCAATACACAGAAACAGAGCCCTATCATAATTACCGAGTAAGTATATGACTTAAGTGTGACGATACGAATGTCATTGATCTGCCTGTTTAAAACTATACCTACTTTCCTTAGACAGGGTCTCACTTTGTAGCCCAGGCTAGCCTCAAATTCACAATCCTCCCGCTCAGCCATACGTGTGTGCCTCCTTGCCCGGCAACAGTCAAACCCCTCCTATTTATAGGATTTCCTGTGAGGTTATTCTGTCAGCAGAATGTATTCAGCCCAATTCCTGAATTTGAGCCTAGATGGGTCATTTACAGAGCCACTGGCTATATTTTGATGGATATGTCTGATGGACTCTCCTGGCATCTTCATTCTTGCCATGTAAGGTTGGGTTTGCTCGTGAGTGGTCAGTGCCAGTTTTCAGGGAACCATGTCACCCTTGTGAGCATCTTGCTCTTCAGTGCCTCCTTAACAGCTTTCTCACTGTCCAGCCTGCTAGACAAGGATGTGCCTCTGTCTGGCTTTGCCATGTCAGGAAGAACTTAGTGTGCAGGAGGCTCCATATGCTCCAGACCCAATTCCGTGTTCACTCTCAGCCTGCTTGGAAAGGCTGCTCCGGGAAAGACCCATTAGGAGCCCTTCAGCAGTTACATGCTATGGCTCATAAAACGGCCCTGAGGAATTCCACAAGTGCAGCATGTCCCCTTTGGTCTCTGAAAGCCTGGAGCCTGTCCTTGTGCTGTGCTTGAACTTGCCAAGTTTTGACACTGAGTATTAGAGCAGGTAAAGAAGTCAGCAGTGGGTATTGCTTTGGTGGGCTGCGCGCTTCCTTCCAGATGTTACTCTGTGAAACAGTATATGTGCCTGTCCTGAGACCTCCATCCTCAGAAGGAGTTGGGTCACACATGGGAGGCCTGTGGTACGAGTTCCCACCAGGCTATGGTGGCAGAATTCGGGGGGGGGGGGTTGGAGTAACTTTACTCTTAAGTTGTATGCACTTTAACTTGGCTCCTGTCCTGTTAGGTAGACATGTATTTTGTGATACTGGGAATTAAACAAAGGACCTACGTCTTTGGACATACTAGGTAATTGCTCTACCGCTGAGCTGTATCCTCAGCCCCTAGGGGTGGGTGTGTTTGTTGCTAGGAATTGAACCTAGATTTAATTTTTATTTTAAGCTTGCCGCCTGCCGTGGCCTCCTGATTGCAGGCCTGTGCCACCAGAGCCCCCAACTCCTGTGTTTCCAGGAGACACTTGGGAATAAAATGGCCTCGTGAGAACGGCTGCGGTACCCTCCCGCCCGCCCCGTTTCCACAGCACCTCACCAAATAGCGCTTCATCGCAACATACACGTTTGGCTTTTTAATCCAGGAACGGGAGAGGGAACGAGAGCGAGAGAACCGACAGCGAGAACGGGAGCGGGAGAGGGAGCGGGACCGCGAGCGGGAGCGCCGGCAGAGGGAGCGAGAGCGGGAGCGGGAGCGGGACAAGGAGCGACAGCGGAGGAAGGAAGAGTGGGAGAGAGAGCGAGCCAAACGTGACGACAAGGACCGGCAGCACCGAGACCGCGACAGGGACAAAGACCGAGAGAAGGACAAGGAGAAGCCAAAGCCCCGGTCCCCACAGCCGCCAAGGTAGGGCACCCAGGTCCCCGGGAGACAGGCCGGCGGCGGGGCTCCTGCCCAGAGCCCTGGTTTCCGGTGCCCTCTGCACCTCTTGCCTTATGGCCTCTCTAAAGCACTGGGGCAGCAGCTCCTTGCTTTCCTGAACACGGTTTGCCTCAGGAAACCCTGGAGTGGAGTGGAGCCCTCACTGTGTGGTGTGGAGTGGGTGGAGTGGAGTAGTGGAGTGGAGACCTCACTGTGTGGTGTGGAGTGGGTGGAGTGGAGTAGTGGAGTGGAGCCCTCACTGTGTGGTGTGGTGTGTCTGTTTCCTTCTCTTAAGATTGTATTTGCAAGGCTCATCTTTGCCACGCAGGTGTCATTCTTCTGTCCTTGTCACAGCTGAACAAAAACTATGGCTCTGCCCTGTCTGTCCTGGTGGACATGGCTCATTGGCACTTTTAGACAGTCGAACATCTGTGTGAACATAGACTTCTGTTCTTGGTTGCCAGTGGTAGGAACAGCTGAGTCATCTGGGAACTGTTCAACTGTTTGAGGACCTATGGGACTGTCAAAGTAACCGCTCACTTTTACGTCCCCACCTCCAGGAGCTCTGCTGCACTTGTTACTGTCTTTATAGCCATCCTGGAGGTATAAAAGGGCATCATGCGAGGCTGGGATTGTGTGTGGAGGAGCATTTTTTCACTTGCTTGCTGGCCATTTGTGTTTCTTCTCTACATGTGGTTGGTTCTTTTTTCTTATGTATCTGTGTGTTCTTTGGAGAAATACCTAATCTGATTTTTTTTTTGTTTGTTACTTGTTTTACTAGTTACATTGCTGTTACCTGACAGAAAGAACTTAAAGGAAGAAGGGGTTGGGTGTGTCACTGGAGGAATGGCAGTGCAGGTCCCATCTCTGCAATGGGAGCATGTGATAGCCCTTTTAGGTTGTGGCTGACCAGCAGGCAAAGAGGAGGGGACTCCAGCATTTAGCTCACTCTCCATTCCCCCAGCCTGTGGGATGGTGAGGCCACATTGAAGTAGATCTTCCCGACAGTTAATCTGCCGAGGAAACCACCCTACAGACACTTCCAGAGATGCGCACTGTGACTTGCTAGGGCTGATCCAGTTAGGCGGACACTACACCAGGCTGAGGTATCATTTGCCTAATCCAGGGTTGCAAGATTTACCTTTACATTTTCCTCTACTAAAAGTTTCATACTTTTGCCGGGTGTGGTGGTGCACACCTTTAGTCCCAGCACTTGGGAGGCAGAGGCAGGCAGATCTCTGTGAGTTCAAGGCCAGCTAGGACTACAGGGAGACCTTGTCTCAAAAAAGACCAAAAAAAAAGTTTCATACTCACAGCTTTTATTTCTAAGCCTTTGACCTATTTTTATTCTAATTTGAGTGAAATGTGTGGGGCATAAGCTGCCCTCCTTCACCACACCTTCAGTTTGCCCGTCACCGTCTCTTGAGAAGGTTTTTCCCTGGTGAGCGAAGTCTTGGCACCCTGGTCAAAATCAAAGATTAAGAGTGTTTATTGCAGGGCTGGAGAGATGGCTCAGCAGTTAAGAGCACGGCTGTTCTTGCAGAGGACCCGGGTTCGGTTCCCAGCACCCACATGGCAGCTAACAACTGTCCGTAACTCCAGTCCCAGGGGATCTAACAGCCTCTTCTGACCTCTGCGGGCATTGCACGACACGGTTGCACTTACCTACATGTAGGCAATACATACACATAAAATAAAAGTAATAAATAAAATATTAAAAAATATGTATTTTTAAAAGAGTGTTTATTGGGCTAGAGAGATGACTTAGCAGCTAAAATCACTTACTGTTCTTCCAAAGGATGCAGGTTCAGTTCCAGCTCCCACATAATGACTAACAACTGTCCTAACTCCAGTTCCAAGAGATCCGATGCCCTCTTCTGGCCTCCATAGGGTTTGCATGCATGTGGTGCGTTTACATACATGCAGGCAAAACAGTCATATGCATGAAATAAAAATAGTTCCAAAATGGCCAGGCGTGGTGGTGCACGCCTTTAGTCCCAGCAGTTGGAAGGCAGAGGCAGGTTAATCTCTGTGAGTTCAAGGCCAGCCTGGTCTACATACCGAGTTTCAGGCCAGCTGGGGCTACAAGGAGACCCTGTCTTAAAAAGACCAAAAAAAAATAATAATTCCAAAAAAAATTTTTTTTAAAGAGTGTTTATTGCTGTTCATTATGGCACACGCCTTTAATCTCAGCACTCGGAGGCAAAGGCAGGTGTATTTATAAGTTTGATGCCAGCCTGGTTTATATAGCAAGTTCTGGGCCAGCCAGGCCTGCATGATAAGACCGTAACTCCCCCCCCCAAAAAAAGGGCATTTCTAAAGAGCTTAATGACAGCCACCCCACAGTGCCAGCACTCATGCTTGGGGGTATTGTATTGAGGGGCTCCAAGTAGCTCCAGGTTTAAGAAGTGACCCAGAGCCCTTCCAGGCTCAGGTGTCCATGTTATCTTTGACTTGGATCTTGTAGATTTAAATCCTGGGCTTGCCAAACATGGCTGTGCTTCTATAACCACCCTGCCAAGCACCTACCTGCTGCCAGCCAGGCAGTGACCTTGGCCACTTTGTGTTGATCCAGCCTGGCTCCTGAGTGCTAGCGCATCATAGCTCTTGTCCTTGGTCACCCTCATAGGCCAGCCCAAGGCTGGTCTCTTCAGGACAGAATTCCCAGGGAGCTCCAGTTCCTTTTTATTCCATTCATTCTGTGGTCACGGCCACAGGCCGCGAGAGCTCTTTCTGGTTGTAGAACATGAGTGTGACCTCCTTTCTGATCCAGGCAGCTAGACTAGAGGTTTTAATCAGGTGGATGTAAAGAACTTTTCTCACAGGGCTAGAGAGATGGTTCAGCAGTTAAGAACACTGACCATTCTTGCAGGAGACCCAGGTTCGAATCCCTGCACCCACATGGCAGCTGTCCGTAACTCGAGTTCCAGGGGATCCGACAGTCTCTTTCGTCCTCCGAGGGCATTGCACAACACAGGTGCACTTACCTACATGCAGGTAATACACGCATACACATAAAATAAAAATAATAAAATATTTTTTTAAATTGAGACAGGCTCTCCCTGTAGCCCCAGCTGTCCTGGAACTCCCTATGTAGACCAGGCTACCTTGAACTCACAGAGATCCGCCTGCCTCTGCTTCCCTAGTGCTGGGATTAAAGGTGAACGCCACCACGCCCGGCCCCAAAACAGAATTTTCATCAAAGAGAGCCCCTTGGGGGACTGTCTTCAGCCTCTGGACAAGAATGTCTGTGTGGAGAGTCTGTACTGGGCACATGGCACTAGGAACAGGTGATAGGGACATCAGCAAGGAGCAGTTACTCTGGATCTGCTGTCCCAGACCTTGTCTTTGTGGCACCCATCTGTTTTTCTCACAACAACCGAACAGCACTCTGCTGTCTCTTCCTCACTGTTGAAGTTCTGCGCTGCCAATGAGCAGGCTTTCCTTAGAATCTTGGGCAACTTGGGACCAGCTTCTCTAGGCCTTGCTGATAGGTGCAGCCTTGCCATGTTCAGATCTCTTTTCAAAGTGGACTTGCCTGCTCCTAAACCTGGGCTGTTTTTGGCCTAGAGTAGAGCTTTTCCACCAGCTCAGTAAGGTGCCTCTGTGTAGGAGGGGGAATCCCTATTGCGAAACCTGCTCCTAATCTTTGCAGCCAAGTGGGTGTCTCAGCCCACAGAGCTAAGGCGGCCAGCACCACATGCTTTAGCCTCAGTAAATCCCGTGACTGTAGGTGTGAAGAGTCCCTGGCCCTTCGTGGAGGAGTCACCTGGACTCTGTGTTGGAGGCTGTTACAGCTGGGCACTGCTGGGCACGTTTGCTCAGCTTCTGGCCACTAGCACTTGATGGACAGTTTACTCTTTAGAAGCCACTACACTCCTGATAGAGTTCAGGTCCTTCTGTCTGTGCCCTTCATAGCCCTACCTGGTGAGCGCTTTCTGGAGCTATTGCTTCATCACAATCCCTTTAGAATGATCCTGCTTCTCTGCCAATGTGAGATGCCCTGGGGTCTCCACTTGGGGTGGAAAAGGCTAAGGATCTCTTACCCCTGGGTGAGGGGCTTTCCATGGTGAAGATGTTCATATATGTGTAACTGTTACCTGTGTGTCTGTTCTGCACTTGCACAGGCATAGGTGAGATTGCAGTCTTGTCTAGAATGGGCACAGGCTAGTCACTTTGGTCTGTTGTGGCTGATCTGGACTCCAGTATCTGCACAACACAAGCTTTTTTCTTGAGTGAGTGCCCCTCCCTGAGTTTTTAGACAAGGCCCCACTGATTTACTGAGGCAGAGCTTTAACTCACAGTCCTCATGCCTCAGCCGTAGCTGGTTACAGGCCCGAACCACCAGGCCTGGCTCTGCTTTATGGCCACATTTTCAGTGCCATCATTTTGATGAGCATGTTGGACAGGGTAGAATTCATTGATTCCAGGAGCTTGAGACTCTTTGGTTATACGTGACCCCTGTGGTGCTTCCACCACCTCCCGGACTCCTGCTGTACCTCATTGAATTGCTGAAGGAATTGCCTGGCCATCTGCTGAAGATGCGTAGAGAATATGTATGACTCTCTTGGTATTAAAATCCAGTTATAGAGACCTGGAACCCGAGTTGTTAGGTGTATGTAGATATATCCAGATACAGTCCTGGATTAGAAAAGGTTACTGCAAGAGTGAGCTCCTCTGTCCAAGGTTCCAAATCTTTATTTATTGTAAGGTGGGGAGTGGAAACGTGAGCTGAAGAGCCAAGCACGGTGTGGCAGTATTGCAGGTGTCAGAAAGGTGTTTTAGTGAGGTTTGCCCACCACTTGAAATAGTACAAATGGCTTTGTTGATGTTTTTATTGGCTCGCTCCGTGTGGCCCAGCCTTGAATTTCTGATCCTCCTGCCCCAGCTTCCCAGGTGCTGGGATTCCAGGTGTGAGGCCTCCTGGGATGATCAATAACTCAAGCTAAGCGGAACACACATATGCGATTTTGGTCTGTGTTTTGTTGGGATCTTTTGCACTAGGCACATGTTGACCTTTTGTGTTCCTTGGGACATGGTAGAGAAATGGCAGTAGGAAATGCCACTGGGATGTGGCGGACACAAGCATCCACTGTCCCAGGCTGAAGGTGTGACTTCCATTCAGAAGTCCAGGCTGGTGCCACAACCCTGAATAAACTAGTCTCCTTTGGCCCAGTGCCTTCATCTCTAAGAGGCGCAGTCCCTAGAGACTGCTCTTTGTTTGTGTCTGAACAAAAGGTGGTTGGTGACTGGTGAGGGCTAATGGCAGAGTTACCAGCCCCCTTCCCCAGCCACTCCTGAAGAAGCATGGCAGGGCACATGGTGTTTGTATTCAGAGCCGTAAGAGAAGACCAGACAGCAAGTATGGAGAGAGGCTCATAATAAGACATAATGGCAAACTTGGAGGAGAGTGCACAGGATTTCCACTCCTGGGACATTCCACAGGGAAGTAGGAATTACTGAGCTTGCAGTTTCTTTAGCCAATGGAAGTCATCCATGTGTGGAGTTTCAGAATATCAGCCCCCAACATGCTAAGACTGCAGTTTGTGCCTTCCTGGGTGTGTGGACATAAAGAAGTGCAGTGAGGCCAGGCGTGGTGGTGCACACCTTTAATCCTGGCACTCAGAGTCAGAGGCAGCCAAATCTCTGTGAGTTCGAGGCCAGCTGGGACTACAGAGAGACCCTATCTCACAAATACCAAAAAAAAAAAGTAGTAGTAGTACAGTGAGAGCCACCCACTCATCCACTGAGGGAGGGCACAGTGCTGTGCACCATGGCCAGGTAGGACTCAAAAACCTGTTCTACTCAGTTTCCTGGGAGATAAGCAAAGTGCATGCCCCCTGAGAGTTGGCACATTGAGGTAGGAGGGAAGAGCCCACACACCATGGATTCTCTCTTCCTGTCTTTAGATGATAACTCTTCCATCCACTGGACTTTACTCTTTGACCCCAAACTTGGCAGCTTTTCAGGTTGGAGTTCCCAGACGTGTGGGCTGGCCACCTTGCTCATCAGCAGTTCACTTCCTTCTGTGGTCCTGGCACAGTGAGGCACTCACGTGCTGCACCACCCTGGGCTTCTGCGTGGCCAGCCTCAGCATTGGCTGGGGCAGCATAGCTGACCCTTGCCCTGCAGAGACTCCAGCAGCCTTGAATATGGGACTGTGCTGGGAGATAAGAGGGTGCTACAGCCATGCAGAAGGCCAAGGTCAGAGACTACGTGTGACGTCTTCTCTGTAGAAGCATCTGTACATTCCAAACCTGTCTTTGCTGGCAGCTTCCTACTGGACTCCCTGACCAGCATTCTTCCCCATGGTACAGCCTCCAACTGCTGAAACAGCCAGGCAGGCACCATGGCTTGGGAGGCGTTTCTAGGGCATTGTGGCCTCCTGCCACTTCATGTTCTACCTAGCTTTCTAGGTCTGACTGGGGTGTCTGGGTGGTAACCCTGAGAGGAGGACGCCACTCATTTTTCTCAGGCTGTCTGGAAAAGCAAAGATAACAGCCAATGTCACTCCTACGGACACCAAGCTTGGACCTTGCCAGTCAGAGCACAACTCGGGTGCTGGCTGGCTGGTGTCACCTGCCAGCTCAAGAACTGGCTACCTTGGGACATGTTGAGACGTGAGCTTGGTGGTCATGGATGTTCTGTGTTGCCAAGCCTGTTGGCAGTGGCAAGCATATCAGTCTTGCAGCTTTTTCTTCTAAATGTTCTATGAACATTTTTCTCAAGTGAACTTGATAATGAACTCTTTACTGATGGTATATCCAGTCATTGTTCCAAATGACCTACCACTGACATGGAGTTGGTTGGACCACCTGCATCTGAAGTCATAGCATTTCCTATGGTTTCACCCATACAGGTGCACCCACTCAAGGCAGAAAACTAGCTGAGCCTGCCATTTGACTTTGGCAGTTTGTAGCCCTGAGAGCCTAGGTTCGTTTTTTTTTTTTTCTGCTTTTGTCCTGTCTCTGTCTCTCTGTCTCTCTGTCTCTCTCTCTCTCTCTCTCTCTCTCTCTCTCTCTCTCTCTCTCTCTCTGCTTGTTACACACTTCATACTTTCATACCTTAGATGCTTCTAATTTTTTTTAATGTGTATGAGTGTTTTGTCTACATGTATATAGGTACACTTGCGTTGTACAGTGCTAACAGAGGACAGAAGAGGAAATTCATCCCTGGAACTGGAATTACGGATGATTGTTAACACCATGTGGATGCTGGGATTTGAACCCCAGATCCTTTGCAAGAGCAGCTAGTGCTCTTAACTGCTGAGCCATCTCTTCAGCCCAATGCGTCTACTTTTTAAGTCTTAATACCTTTTATTTTTCTATTTTAGTGGTACTGGGGGTTGAACTCATGGTTTGACATGTACTAGGCAAGCACTCTACCACTGAGCTATATCCACAGAGCCTTAAAAACTATGGGACCAGGCATAGTGGCTCACTTTACTCCTAGTACTCAGGAGGCAGAGACAGGTAAATCTCTGAGTTCAAGACTGACCTGGTGTACGTAGCAAGCTGCAGGCCAGCCAGGACTACATAGTGAGAGACTGTGTCTCACAAAATATATATATATATTAAAAAAAAAAAAAAAAAACGGGCTAGAGGTGGCTCAGAGGTTAAGAGCACTGGCTGCTCTTGTAGAGAACACAGGTTCAGTTCCCAGCATCCACATACATGGCAGCTAACAGCCATACCTCTGCAGGCATTATATACATGGATACGTTTATGTACAAGTAAAACACTCCTACACATAAAATATAAATAAATTAAAAATATAAAAATAACCTTTGGGCCGGGTCTGGTGGTATATTCCTTTAATCCCAGCACTTGGGAGGCAGAGGCAGACAGATCTCTGTGAGTTCCAGGATAGTTGGGGCTACAGAGAGACCCTGTCTCAAAGAGACAGGAAAAAAAAAACCTTTGGAAGGAAATATTGCATCATTGCTACAAAGTAAACACCAGACCATGTGCCACAGTGAGTCACTGGAGTGGTGATGTCTAAACTTAGGTGGACGTCTAGTCGCTAACAGAAGTCAGCATTGCACTGCCATCCATGGGATGAGGACATGGTGGGCAGCCCTTCTCCTTGGGGGGCCTGAGATAGCCCCCTCCGATGAAGATAGTGCCCCTGGTGCTAGGACCAGGTGCTTGCTCTACAGGGGTAAGAGTCAAGACCCATCAGAAACACCAATCTAGGGGAGACACCATAGCACCCTCACTGGCCCCACTGCTGAAGGTGCCATTCCCTGTGGGTCCCAGTGTCCACAGGAAGTGGAGGGCTATTCCTGCAGAGAGGACTTGAATACTGCTGCCATTGCACCTAAAGAAAAGGGAACTCCCCACAGCGTGGTAACCCTCCACTTCTCTGTGGAAGGACTGTGCCGACCAGGTGACTAATGTAGTGCCCAGTGCCTCTGGTATCTGTTTCCTCTTAGTTTTTAGGATGAGAACATCCAGGAAGTAGAAAGGTGAAAGCAGTAGCCTATGGCAGGCAACGGCAGCAGGTTCTCACTTCTTTCCTGCGTTGTTTGGGGCATTAGCTCCTGGGTTAGGACTGAGATAAGAAGGACACAAGCCATATTTCGTGTGTCCTTGGGACTTCAGCACTAGGTGCTGATGCAGCTGGACCTCAGCAGACAATAGGCCTGGTACCTAATACGGGATGCTGAGTACGCAGGCTCTGAAAACACAACTAGTTAGGGGTTGTTTTAGGGTGACAAGGCTCTCCTTGGTGCCTTTGCCGTGAGCCTGCAGTCTCTCTGGGCACTTGATACCAGTGCTGTTCTGGAGTGAAGCTCGGGCCCTTATTTTCTCGGGCTCTAATCAAGGTGCTCCCCAGTTGCAGATGAGCCTGTCTCTTTAAACAAGTTGGAGACAAAGAAAATGTTTAAGGCATGGATTTGTTAATCGAATTTTTTATTAACCAGCTTTTGGAAATAGTGACTTTTGTTTAATTTCATGAATTTTTTTAAATATTTTATTATTTTTATTTTATGTGTATGTGTGTATTGCTTGCGTGTAGGTAGGTGCACCCATGTCGTACAATGCCTGCAGAGGACAGTGGAGACTGTCGGATCCCCTAAAACTGGAGTTACAGACAGTTGTTAGCTGCCATGTGGGTGCTGGGATTCGAACCCGGGTCTTCTGCAAGAACAGTGTTCTTAACTGCTGAGCTATCTCTCTGGCCCCTAATTTCATGAATATTATGTGCTTACCAGCACTACAGATAAGCATGTTTGGACTTGGTGGTCTCCATATTCACCTGACAATACAGTCAGACAGAAACTAAGTAACGACACCCCCAAAAAGTAATCATCATTGCGGTTAAGAAAAACAGGATGCGTCCAGAAAAGTTGGTATTGCATGTCTGGAGAGAGCTAAGCATTGGAGTGGGTACTGAAGAGGTGGCTCAGCAGTTAGAGCACTGGATGTTCTTGCAAAGGATCTGAGTTTGGTTTCCAGTACCCACACGGCAACTAACACCTATCCTAACTCCAGTTCCAGGAGATCTGACACCTTCTGACCTCCTTGGGCACTGCATGACACAAGTGCACTTACACACATGCAGGCAATATACTCATACGCATAAAATAAAAATAATAAATAAACTCTTTAAAAAAAAAAAAGAACTGGAGTGGAAATCTGCTGCCATCTGACTTTTCTTTGTCTCTTCTCTAAGAGAACGCACAGAATGCTCTCGTCACAGGATGCTCTGGCCTCCCTGATGGCTTCGAGCAGTACTGCTGGGGAAAGGTGGCACATCCTGAGCATGTGACCCTCTGTGATTCCAGCCGTCAAGCTGAGCCACCAAAGAAGGAGGCCACCTCTGTGGGGCCACAGGTAAAGCGAGCCGATGAGTGGAAGGACCCTTGGCGCCGATCCAAGTCTCCCAAGAAAAAACTCGGGGTATCAGTCTCACCAAGCCGGGCACGAAGGCGTCGCAAAACTTCAGCCTCGTCAGCTTCTGCTTCCAACTCCTCCAGGTACAGAGGCGGCTGTGAAGATAGGTGGTTTGGGGACATCTACTGGCTGCCAGGCTGCCATGTGTACATGCGCGTGCGTTCGTGCGTGCGTGCTTGTGTGTGTGTGTGTTCACTGCCCAAAGGCAGGTCAGTAGAATCCTAGGTGAGACTGATGCTGAGAACTAAGGCGTGTGGTGAGATTTGACATCCTCCAGAATGTACAAAAGTAAGTAAGGTGGGTAACCTGGAAGAGCAGAGAGACCAGCCAGGCTGCCCACTGGGGTCTGCAGTCACATAGGGAAGGGAGAGACTGCTCCGAGGTCCTGTGGAAGAGGATCTGGGCTACTGACAGGATCTGCATACTCTGCTGACCAGTCAGCCAGCTTCTCAGAGAATTTGCCTTAGCAGCTCTGAACTCTGGATGTGAACAAAAATGAATGATGAGAGTTGTGTGTCCATGTCCAAGGGAGGAATTAACAGATGGGGTCTGGGAAGGACCTGAAGTGCCTCTGTGTGGACAGATGGAATGGACAGATACAGGAACACAGCTATGTGAGCACAAGGATCAACTTGAAAACTCACACCTTGGCTGTTTCCACCTCTCAGACTAGTCATAGAGTCACCCAGTAACAATAGACACACCCAGCACCCAGTCCTGGTCTCTACAATACTCCATTGAAGTGTAATGGGACTCCGACATGTCTCCAGGTTTCCATGTGTGAGTGTGTATGTCTAGGCATCTGCTTGTGTCTGTGTGTGTAGCCATGCCATCCCACTCTGCACTAACAAAAGAACTGGTTCTCACCCCACTGGAGAGGTGACAGTCATCCCCCTGCCCCTGCCCCGCCCCTTGGCCTACAGGTCATCCTCACGGTCTTCATCCTACTCTGGCTCCGGCTCCTCCCGGTCCCGGTCCTCATCCTACAGCTCCTACTCCAGCCGCTCTTCCAGACACAGCTCATTCTCAGGCAGCCGGTCCAGGTATGTTCCATCCCATTGCACTGCCAGCAGCTGCAGCAAGCATGGGAGCTCTGGAAAGCTCAAGTGGCCATGCTTCTGTCTGCCACAAAGGGCAGGTACCTGCTTCCAGAATGATTTCGGTAAGCAGTGGGTCTCATGGATGCTTAGGAGCGGTGTGGACTGAGATGCCAGTCTGCATAAACTGCAGGTGCTGGAATCCCTGGGCTGCGTTTGGGGTGGCCAGAGGTGGCTGAAGGGAAGCACAGGGCAGCCTTGTTACCTGGATGACCTGTCTGCTACCAAGGCCACATTCAGCAGGCGCCCACCCTGTTGGGTGGCAGATGTATGTACATCATCCTGGAAAGTTCTAGGAGGTTCAAGAAAGTTTGTTCTCCCCATTGAAAATGGACACTGTGTCAACAGGGGCTGCAGGGAGACCCTGTCTCCAAAAGACACTTGTAGACCTGGTGTAGTGGTACACCTTTAATCCCAGCACTTGGGAGGCAGAGGCAGGTGGATCTCTGGAGTTTAAGGCCAACCTGGTCCACATAGCGAGTTCCAGGCCAGCCAAAGCAAAGTAGTGAGACCCCTATCTTAAAAAAAAAAAAAAAGAAAGAAAGAAAATAGTCACTTGTAGAGTTTTAGGCAAATTGTGCCAACACACAACATTCCCTATCCAGCCTGACCTGACCCCAGGAGTACCTTGTGGGCTGGTCCCTTTGTCAGTCTCTGCCAGTGGGAGGCGCCCTGAGTAGGCCCTTTGTACCTACTGTTCCTGTGTAGATCCTTCCAGTTCTCCCCACAAGCTTCTCTGCAGCCACATCATCCAATAAAGCTGCTAGGGTGGGTGGGAGGGAGTATGTTAATCCTGGTTATTAAATAGTGCATGTGCACACACATGGGCACACACAACCCACTGGTAATAAAATGATCTGTCTCTCCTGTAGCGATTTGGTGCCCCACCAAATGGCACCCCTTCCTGGCAGATGGTCTTGCTTTTAGATGTGGTTGTGGAGAGGATTAGAAAACAGCTCTGAGAGGTCACCAAAGCTGTTGAGTCTGGTGCTCGTGTTAATGTTTTTGTATAAGACATGAAGCTGGTGAAGTAGAAAAGACAGTGGGCTAGAAGCCAGACTCAGACCTTTGGAAGTTTGGGGCTCAGTGTTGGGAGAGAGTTGTATATGTGATGTTTGTTCTGAGTATGCAGCTGGTAATGATGGCAGAAGATGGCCAGGAAGAAAGCTCTGTGCTATCACCATGTCCTAAGGTTAGAGGCACCTTGGGTCAAGGAGGCAGCTGGAACAGGGTACAGAGGGAAAGGATGGCAGGTTTCACTCTACAGGTGTTTCTGGGCCCTTCTCAATAAGCCTAGCACTGGAGGGAAGGAGTTGAGTAGATCACACAGCACACAGGAGAGTCCTGTGTATCACCCCAAGAGGTATGAGGTCACATTGCAAGAGATGCCAGTCGGGTCGCTCCACCTTCTCACACCCCATTGATTGCTCCAGAAGCTTTGCCATATGTCATCATTGCACGTCACATGCTTAGCCGTTCCCCACAGTAGGCATTCCCTATTCAGCGGCTCAGCCTCCCCAGCACTGTCCCCCTGGAAGCCTGCAGGGCTGGGTGGCCTTCATTCAAGTGAGGAAGGAGACTTGGCCTTCTGGCCTCAGCTCTACAGCTGTCCTTCCTGTTCACCTGCAGTGGGTTAATGCGGGTACGGGACATGCTGTGAGGAAGGAACGCAGGCTGGGAGGGGAAGCGAATCTGACAGGCTGCCCCAGGGGTCTCGGAGGGTCCTTCTGGTTGCACCTATTTCCTGTTCTTTCCACAGCAGCCACCTGTGAGGTGAGGCAGTGAGTGGGAGGCCACAAGAGTAAGCCAGTTTTAGGTTTTCCAGGCACTTGACTTAGAACCAAGGAGCATGCAGGACTGCAGGAGCCCAGCCAGGTCTCCTTTCAGCTGTTGGCCTCCTAGTCAGAGATCATGAGACTCCTATCATGATAGTTTGAGTTGTTTTTTTTTTAATGTGTATGAATGTATTGCCTGCATGCATGCAAGTGTACCCGTGTCATGCAGTACCCATGGAGGTTTGAAGAGGGTGTCGGATCCCCTGGAACTGGAGTTAACAGATGGTTGTTAGCCACCATGTCGGTGCTGGGAATCGAACCCGGGTCCTCTGCAAGAGCAGGCAGTGCTCTTAACCACTGAGCCATCTCTCCAGCCCCTACATGATGGTTTTTAAATAGAGAACATAAACACCCAGCCCTGTCACCCTCTTACCTCAAGTGTGACCTCACTGTCAGAACCCTATCCTGGAAACTCCACCTGGACCCAGCCACCTCTCCAGGGCCCTTTGTCACCCTGCTGACACCCAAAACCTGTGTCATAATATTTATTCATGACTTCGTAGCACTAACACTCCCATCTTACCTCCTGATGTCATGGCTTACCTCTGTAGCCTATGTCTGCTGACTCTGTGTTTGGAACCCTCATAGCTAGTGGCCCTGCCACCTTCCAGCCACTTGGGTCTCTCAGGTCCCACACCCAGCCTAGAGCCATACCCACCATTCACACCTAGGGTCACGAACCCCTGCTCTCAGGCACCCATTCCTTCCTGGGGCCACAAGCTGCCCCTTGATGTTCTCCTCTGCCAAGTGTGTATTTTGTCAGATGGTAAAGCTGCTCAAACAGAATTTAAATCTGAGGAATTCTCTGTGGTTCGGGGCAGCCTCCTGGGGGATGCACCCAGCCCTGGCCAGTGAGGGGATCTTCCCAGCACCAGACCCTCCTCACACTCTCTTTGTTCCCCAGGTCCCGGTCCTTCTCCTCGTCCCCATCCCCGTCTCCCACACCTTCCCCACACAGACCTCCAGTCAGAACCAAGGGGGAGCCGGCCCCGCCTCCTGGGAAAGCAGGGTGAGTCCTGTCTCCAGGGTTTCCAGCCTCTTCCACTGTCCATCTCTTCCCATCCCATGCTGGGACTAGAGGTGAAGCAGCCGCCAAGGGAGGCATATATGGCTCCCAGGAGGTGGGCGGAGGCACGGGCTCAGCACCTAGACTCGGATCCCTGTGGCCTGGACCTTGGCAGCCATGTGCCATGTCTGAACTGCAGAGCCCTGAGATGTGGGTGCACTGAGCAGGGACCCTAGTCCTACTCTGCCTTGAGCCTGCCTCTGCCTCCCAGGGAGAAGTCAGTAAAGAAGCCAGCCCCGGCCCCAGCCCTGCCACAGGCCGCCAAAACCACTGCTCCTGTCCCCGAGCCTGCCAAAGCAGGAGAGCCCCGCGAGGCCAGGAGGAAGGAGCGGCAAACCAGGACTCCCCCCAGGAGGTAAGCGTGTAGACTTGTGACCCTGGGGGGTTTCCCTTCCCTTTGTGCCACCGGGGAGTAGGCACTGATTTAAAAATACTCAGAGCCTGGGGAGGGGAGGGCATTCCCAGGGAAACAGCCTGGTGTACAGGAGGGCTCTAACCCAGCGAGGGCGCTGCCTCTGAGGTAGACTGTGGTATTTGTGTTGCAGACGGACACTGAGTGGCAGCGGCAGTGGCAGCGGCAGCAGCTACAGTGGCTCCAGTTCCCGATCCAGGTCACTTGCTCAGTCCCACTCTCTGTGGACCTTACCTCTTACCCCTCACCCAGGTGGACTGTCCGTGCTAGTACGAAAGCCTGGTTTGGCCTTGACAGACAGCTTCATGAACATGGCCTCCTTCCCACATGGCACCTAACCATGAGGGAAGAAACCAAGGAGCATGCAGCCCAACAGAACAGAGCAAGGCCAACCCCAGGTCCTCTGTCAACACCTTCATGGAGGATGTTGGGGTCCTCCCTGGGTTGCCACTCTCCACTGGAGGGAGGGAGAGCCCATGAAGAAAACCAGAGAGAATGTAGAAGACAGAGTCAGCCCCTCTTAGGATCTTGGCACCCAGTTTTTTCTGCATGCTCGAGTAGCTGGACTTTATGCATTTGTCCAAGGCTTTAGCAGTTTGACCCAGCCATTTTTGCAAAGCTAGAAAGCACTCAGCTTGCTCTCTCTCTCCTCTCCCTGTTCTGGCACCTGATGACTTCAGAAAGAGCCACCTGGTGTTTGATAGGCGTGCCGTTTGTCCACATCTGGGGCACCATCTACCCATCCCTGGGCGTGCCCTGTGGGGAAGTGAACTGCCACTTCGTGTTTAATTTGCTGTTGGCCAAGAGCCATCTGCTTTTTTCTTTTTTTCTTTTTTTTGAGATTGGAGTTTCACTGTGTTACCCAGATGATCTTGAACTCCTAGGCTCAGTCAGTCCTCCCAAGGAGCTGGGACCACCAGGGCTTAGCACACCTGCCAATAGCCATTACCCCTCTGTTGTACAGCTTTTTTTAAGAGAGGGTCTCACTTTGTAGTCCTGGCTAGCCTGAAACTCACAGAGACCTGCCTCTGCCTCCTAAGTACTAGAACTACAGGCAAATTCTGACCCCACCCCAGCATATGTTGTATGTTGTGCACCTTTAACCAGCTTAAAACTGTGTCCTCACAACCGTGGGTGGGGCTCCATCACATTTCCCTTCTCAGCAGTGTCACCCAGGTTAGAGAAGTGGAGACCTCAGTCATGGCACAGCTTAGCCCCTTTGCTGTGCAGTACCTCTGAGAGCTCCTTGAGGTCCCTGCTCTATTGGTGTGCATTCCATAGAAACTTCCACCCTCTCCCGTCAGCCTTCAGCCCAGCCATCTTGTGGTTGGCGTCTAGTTGAGGGGTAGAGCTGATCTTGTGTGGGTAGAGAAAAGCCATAGAGACCCAACGCCCCTCTGACCAGCCTTCAACCCAGCCATCTTGTGGTTGACTCCTAGCTGAGGGTCACAGCTGCGTGTGTTGTCCAGGTCCCTGAGTGTGAGCAGCGTCTCCTCAGTGTCCAGCGCCACCTCGAGTAGCAGCTCAGTGCACAGTGTGGACTCAGAGGACATGTATGCAGACCTGGCCAGCCCTGTGTCCTCAGCCAGCTCTCGATCCCCCACCCCTGCCCAGACCAAGAAGGAGAGAGGTAGGCAGGGCCCTCAACCCGAGGAGCAGGGGGCAGATTGTTGGCACAGACTGCCTGCCCCACAGTCTGTGCACACGGGAACCTGTGACTGAGGGTTTGTTGTTGGCAGGAAAATCTAAAAAAGAAGACGGTGTAAAAGAGGAAAAGCGGAAACGGGATCCATCTGCCCAGACGCCCAAGTCCTCAAAAGCTCCAGCGGGTGGGAAATCCTCTCAGCAGGCCACAGCCCAGCAGGCACCACCCGGGCAGCCTCAGCAAGGCTCCTTCGTGGCCCACAAGGAGATCAAGCTGACACTGCTGAATAAGGTGAGGCTGAGGGGCCAGGCCAGCACTGCTGCACCTAGGCCTGGGTGCTGGGGACTCCAGGGAACAGCCTTAAGGTCCACCTTGCCCCTGAGCTGAGAGATGGCCAAGCAAGTGGCCTGGCACACACATCAGCACAGGCCAGAGGTCAGCACCTTAGCACTACAGCCTCTTCAGCCTCTGAGCACACTTCCTGTTAACCTGCGGCCTGGACAGTTCCACACAGCAGCTTTGGGGCAGCAGGCAGGCAGCCTGAGTCCTTATCCTCAAAGCCCCACAGTTCTGACCCCACCCCAGCATCGGCCCTCCCCAATACTATCTGGATGTCCAGAGGGCCAAGGCCTGGCATGTTGGGGTCGTGCAAGGCCTCTTCCCATGCAGCACAGAGTGCCCAACACATTGTGGCATGGGCCACAGAGCTGTTTGATATGGGGGCAGGGCCCAAAGGCTGAGCTGTGGGAACAAAACCATGTGCAGCCAAGGCGCAGGATGCACCACACCCCCTGCACTGCCTGGTGCCCACCCAGGCCCTGCCACCCTGACAGTGCTGTGCTATTCCAGGCAACTGACAAAGGAAGCAGGAAGCGCTACGAACCATCAGACAAGGACCGGCAGAGTCCTCCTGCCAAGAAAGCCAACCTGTCCCCAGACCGAGGTGAGTTCCTAGTCCAGGGCTGAGGTATACTTGGCCAGAGGCCCCACCTGCAGGACTTGGACATTTCATCTGCTCTATAAACTATCAAGGAGATGCCTGAGGAGCCCCCCTACTGTGCACGTTCTATCAACCAGTACCCACAGTGTTAGGGATTTAAACTTTGAGGCTGGTCATGGTGGCATGTTTTAATCCCAGCATTTGGGAGGCAGAGGCAGGCGGTATCTGAGAGTTCGAGGCCAGCCTGGTCTACATAGGTGTTCTGGGTCAGCTAGGGCTACAGGGAGACCCTGTCCCAAAAAAGACAAAAAAGAAAAGAAATTTAAGCTTCGGTTTTGTTTTTAGTCATGATCTTGTCTCTGTAGCCCAGTCTGGCCTCCAACTCATGATCTTCCTGAATCAGCCTCCCAAGTGTTAGGGTTCTAGGTATATACCACTTGTTCCAATAGGAAACTCTTTTTAATCTTTAATAGTCTTGGGTTATAGCTCAGGGGTAGACTACAAGGCCCTGGGTGTGATCCTCAGCACTACCCTCCCAAAAAATAATCAGTAGGAACAAACCTCTGTGTACTGGTACAAATGGGTTTTGTTTGGTTGCAGTTTTGTTTTTTGAGACAGGGTCTCCCTTTGGAGTCCCAGCTGGCCCGGAACTTGCTATGTAGACCATACTGGTCTTGATCTCACAGAGACTAGCCTGCTGCCTCCTAAGTGCTGGGGTTAAAGGCATGTACCACTATACCTGGCCCAAATAGATTTTTTTTTTTTTTGTACTTTATGTGTGTGAATATTTTGCCTACATGCAGGTAAGTGCACCATGTACGTGCAGTGCCTGTGGAGAGTAGAAGAAGGTGTTGGATCCCCTTGGAACTGGAGTTAAGGACAGTTGTTAGCTGCCATGCATGTGGGTGCTAGGAACTGAGCCTGGTCCTCTGCAAGAGCAGCCAGTGCTCTTAACCACTGAGCCAGCTCTCCAGCCCCCTAAATAAAAGTTTTTGATGATGAATAACTAACTGTTCAAACCAGTGTTGGGATGTGGCTTGTTGAAGTGCTTGCCTAGCATGCTTGAAACCCTAGGTTCAAGCCCCAGCACTGCATAAACTGGGTGTGGTGGCACATACCTGTAACCCATAGCACTTGAGAGGTAAAGGCAGGAGGATCAGATGTTCAAGGCCATCCTCAGCTACATAGAGCTGCACATGAGACAGTGTCCCAACAAAAATAATGAAGGCAGCTAAAAGGGACAGGTACAGGTGCTCCAAAACAGAAGAGACTGCCGATCCTCAAGGTGGGGTAGCTTAAGGCAAAGCTGCCGCTACCCTCCTGGACAGGGGATACTCACAAACTCCACGTGTTCCAGGAGCCCCATGTTGGGTGCCAGCTGTGGGGGGGTCTCTCCCTCCCCTCTTGGGTCGTTGGCCACCGGTCCACGAGGATAGAGGGAGCAGAAGCGACGAACGGGGTCAGGATGGCCAGTGAGCACTGATGGAAGAAAGCCCTTCCTGGGAGGCTGGTTCAGTGATACAGCTCCAGATTCAGTGGTACAGCTCTGTTTATCCACTGGGGGTCAGGGAAAATATAGTGTGGAGGCAGCAACCAACGCTTCAGCTGGTAGGTGCTCATAGTATGCTTTATTTACATGTGGTAGGGGGATCCTATCATCTGACTATAGGGCAATGCCTAATTATCATGTAGAAAAAACCTGGGGGCAGTTTTATTGCAGGTAACTATGCCAAAGGTCATGTTCCAAATAAGGTCAGGCATCCCTGCTTGGTGGCACTTACCAGGTAAGTCAGGCAGAGAGCAGGATGTCCTGGCTGAGAAAGGGAGTCCTTCCATATAGCGCCAAGCCCCTTAGAGCTATCCGGACATAGAGGACTACAACCCTAGCAGCAGGGTCCCCCAACAGGCAGGTTCTTAGAGCCAGCACCAGTCAGCCAAGCCCGCATCTCTTGCTGACTTGGTTGTGGCCTCTGCAAGCCTCAGACTCATTGGGATATGTAAGAAAAGCAGTGCCTTGGGGACCAGAAGGGTTTTGGGAACCCCAGCTCTCCCAGGATACCACGTCATTGGCCCCAAGGCCAGGCAGAGAGATGAGAGAATCCTCCTGGCTGGCTTTAATTGGCAGAGCAAAAATCTACATTTCCCTCTTGAAGCAGGAGTGAAGGGAGCTGGCTGCTGTAGGCCAGGGGTCCAGAGCTCATTCCAGACAGGTCCCTGGGCCTGTCAGACAAAAGAGAAAGGAGCTGCTGCCTTGGCTACTTGTACCCTGGGGGAACTTCTTGCCCCAGAGTTAGAGCCACAGTCACTGAGTCACCTGACCTGGTAGGTGCTCAGGCCCTGCCCTCCAGTCTGCTGCCCAGCCCCAAACAGGGGCGGTGGCGGGGGGGGGTTGTCTTTAGACTGGTGGAGTGCAGTGTTCCCACCTCATAGGTGTGCTTTAACTGCTCGGCTCTGCTGAGTGCAGGTGGGTCTGTCCTCGCTCAGCTGCAGGCCCTGCATTGAGGCTTCGTGGACTCTGCTTTCTCAGGCATCACTTGCCTCACCCTTTTTCCTGTGCTCTTCCTGATTCTACTTTACAAAAACAGGCACACCAGCTATCCTGACACTTATTTTTTGAGCAGTCTCTCATGTAGCCCAGGCTGAACTTATGTAGCCAATGACATTCAAGTCCTGATCTTCCTCTACCTCCCAGTGCTGAGTTTGTAGCACCTCTGGCCTGGCTACCTTGACACTTTGGACCTAGGTCACCTGGTGACCCAAGACTCAGGGCGGTGGTCTCAACTCTGTTCCCTGTTGTCCAGGTTCTCGGGACCGGAAGTCAGGGGGAAGACTGGGCTCCCCGAAGCCAGAGCGGCAAAGAGGCCAGAACTCTAAAACCCCTGCTGCTCCAACGGACAGGTAAGACACAGAGAGCTCCTGTGTGCAGAACAGGCTTCTCCTGGGAAAGCCAGTGGAGAGCAGCACTGCCCCAGCTGATGAACCATAGGAGTGGGGATATGTGGAAGGACAGGGACAGTCCCAACCCACTGTTCTGAGATCCCCCTCAGGCTCAGCCTGTGCCCAGCTGCAGAATGCCCCCTTAAAGAGCCCTAGGCAAGGGGCACAGGGTCTCAGGGTAGACACATAGTTGGGTGACCAGCATGGGGTCAGGCTGCAGCCCAAGCTGGCCAGGACCCCTCCAGGTGTCCCCACAGTGGAAGTGTGGAGCCCTGGATGCTCACCCCATAAGCCAGGTCCTTCCTTCTCCCCTGTCTCATGCCTTCTTACCCCTACAGGAAACGCCCACTGTCACCCCAGTCCAAGAGCTCCAGCAAGGTCACCAGTGTGCCCGGCAAGACCACTGACACCACCACTGCGGGCACCAAGTCAGGGAAGACCAGCACATTGTCCCGACGGGAGGAGCTCCTCAAACAGCTCAAGGCCGTGGAGGATGCCATCGCTCGCAAGCGGGCCAAGATCCCAGGGAAGGTGTAGTGGGCCCAGCTCACTCCCTGGAGTAGACTTACGTGTTT